AAACATCTTTCATGACCCCGGAGGTAAATTTTTGCTACCTCGTCATGGCCTTTGGACTCAAAAACTACGGCGCCACCTACATTAGGATGGTGGGCCGGTGGCCTAGCTATTCAGAGATGTCCTAGGTCGGACGATGGAGGCATACATCGAGACATGATTGTCAAGTGCAGATAGTCATCCACCCATGCCGATGACCTCCGGGAGATCTTTGAAATTATGAAGAAGTTCAATCTCCGCCTCAACCCCAAGAAATGTACCTTCGGCTTCCAAGGAGGAAAATTTTTGGGCTACATGGTCGGTCGAAGGGGCATCGAAGTAAACTCGAAGAAAATCCAAACCATCATCAACATTGAACCACCATTGAACATTAAGGAGGTACAATGGCTAATAGACCGCCTGGCAACCCTGAACTGTTTCCTCTCAAGATCAGCAGAGAAATCCCTCCTCTTTTCCCAGATAATGCGCAAGACGGCAAATTTTCTATGGATGATGGAGTGCCAGCATGCCTTTGAGGAGCTGAAGCAATACCTCCCCTCCCGTACTCTCTAAGCCCAAGCCCGGCGAGACGCTTTTCCTTTACCTTGGGGTGAGCACCTCGACCATCAACTCAGTGCTCATCCGCGAGGACGAAGGAGTACAAAATGCAATATTCTACGTCAGCAAGATGCTAAGGGAGGCAGAGCTCACGTACCCCCCATTGAGAAAACAGTCCTGGCCATCGTCTGGATGGTGAAGAAGCTTGTGCACTACTTTCAGGTGCATCTCATCCACATCCTCACACAACAGCCCCTCGACGCCCTCATGCGAAGCCCAATGAGATCCTTAAGGATGGTGAATTGGGCGATTTTTCTGAGCCAGTACCAAATCGAGATCAAGCCTAGATCATCCATCAAAGGAAAAACCTTGATCGAGTTTGTGACTGAATGCACGGCTAGAGAATCAACTATAACCACTTCCGGCCCCGAGGTGGATGAAGCATGTCACACAACACCAAACAAAATGTAAATTACAATTTAAAATATCAACATATTAGTATGATAACAATAGACTTAAGTGTATGTACAAGTGTTTCACTTAATTAAACCATAAATATTAAATGTCAATATCTAGCAAATCATAATAAATCTAGTATCAAACATTAATTTTAATTTCTAGTATTAAGAATTAATAACTAAACAAAATATTATACTTAATGATTAATAAATAAAATAACCAGTGTTAAAAAGTTCAGTTACTTCGGTTCGGTTCAGTTTAGAGATGCGAAAACCAAAACCAAAACCAAACAACTATGGTTCGAGTTTTTGAGTTCGGTTTCGATTTTCTTGCGGTTGGTTGTTTTGGTTGCGGTTCGGGTTTTTTCGATTCGGTTTTCGGTTTCTCCGACCCACCCCTATTTGACATTCAAGCTACTGAGATTAATTAATGCTAGAAGCTACAAACTTATCTGAGATGCTACTCACTGAATCATATTAAAAAAGATCTTTCATTTCTATAAAAACTGTTAAAAATTGGCATATAAAAAACAATCTTTTAGTTTTACAAAAACTCTTAAAAATTGACATATCAAACATACAACTAAAGTTCTTAAAACTTTTTAAATTATACTTCCTCCGTATGCTAAAGTTCCACACACTTTCCATTTTTGGATGTATTAAAAGATCTTTTAAAAATACTCAATTATCCTTACTTCTTATCATTTTTTTCTCGGGATGTCAAAAAAACCCGACCCGCCCTGACCTGCCCTTACCCGAGATATTTAGGGCGGGTCCGCCCCGCCCCGTCTTACAAATGGGGTGCGTCCGCCTCACCCTGCCTATACAATGGGGCGGGTCCGGGTATTAGTATTGACCCGTGCTGCCCCGACCCACCCTGACCCGACCTGCTCAATATATAAGTATACGTACTTTTACTTAAGTTATAATACAAATATACTTCAACATACATATGCATATACAATAAATCATAAATTCTTTGATGTTATAACATATTAATATATATTAGAATGAGATCAACAACGGATTATCAATGGCTTCTTTATATATAGCATTTTAATACATATATTCAATTATTAATATAATTAAATAGATTAACTATTCAAGTCTGAGTAATTTTTCCTTAACTTTTGAAATTTTTAGCGTATCATGAATTTGATTTAATATATTAATTTTTAGTTATTATTTAGAGATAAGCTTTATGTAGATTCAATTGGTAACAACCCCTACAAATAAAAATACATACTAGCTAATTAGGTTACGGCGGGGTGGGGCGGACCCGCCCCGCCACGCCCCGCATGGAGCGGGTCATGGGTCAACAAGTTTGGACCCGTGCAGGTCACAGGGCGGGGTAGACTCGCCCCGCCAAGTCACGGGGCGGGTCCGGGTCTTGCAGTACCCGCCGTGCCCTGACCCATTGCCATGCTATTTCTTTCTTATTTTTTTATCTTATCTCCTACTTTGTCTATAACTAGTATTTTTACCCGTGCCGTGCACGGGAAAAAATGGTTAATTTTAGTTTTAACATGTGTGTGTACGCGTGCATTGTCATATACGCCTTATTAGAATTAACGTAAAGTCACTTATTTAGTCAATAATAACATTAGTTAATAATGTATATTTTTATTTATTGATTGAAGAAGCGATCCAGCCCAGCTGGTCGCCGACTCACTCTCCCTTATGAGAGGTCTCGGGTTCGAAATTCAATAGAGTGAGTTTCAGTCTTAATTACTCAGGCCCCCAGCACCCTCCCCCACATGCCCCTGGAGTAAAAAAAATCTTATTTATTGAGTATGTCTTATTTTTAACTAAATATCTAAACATGTTGTCAGTATATATTATCCAATTAAAAAAGCACATCTTTTTTTTTTTGAAAAAGAAGCACATCTTTTAATAGCTTCTATTGCATCCAATTGAATTTCGTCTTTTCAAACATCTTTATATAAACAAAAAAAAATTGCTCAATGCCTATTTTTAGCCATTAGATTTCATATGTAGCTCACCGTATTTTCAAAACTAATAACCACTCATTTTTGTAATTTATTTATTTAATAATGGTGTGGTCATTTTTTTAAAAATATTATTCCTTCTAGGATTTAGAATTGAGCAAATTAGTCCTTCTATCTCCTTCTTTAAGAGAAGAATTAATTAGAATACATAATTTTGATATATTTCTTTATTTCAATGAAGGTAATGGCGGCGATAACAGTTGCATAACGCGATTAGTAGCAGTCGATTTATTTTTCATTAGATTGATTTAAAATATGTATAATTGAACGTAGAGAGTTGCAAATGATTAAACCTATAAAAAGATTCTCACGTCAAGCTAAGTGCTAGATAGTAACCGAAACATAAACATGTAAAACTTTACAATAAAAAATAAAAAATAAAGATGCCCCATATTTAGAAATGAAAAATGATCTCAATTTTATGGTATCATGTGAAAGATAATAAAAAGTTATGATTTTAGATATATTTTTTGTAACAATTAGATTACAAATAAAAATATTATATAATTTTAAATAAAACAAATGTCTTTTAAAGTGTTAAATTATTTTTTATTTTTGTGTATTTAATATGGATGTCATTTGAAAGATAATAAAAAGTTATGAATTTTGATATATATTTTATAACAATCAGAACACAAATGAAAAAGTTATAACACTTTTAGGACCCCAAAATATATGTTAACATTAGAGTAAGGATGTTTTCTTTTGGACATAAATTTGCTGGTCTGGCCTTGTCTGGTCTGGTAAATGTTTGGTCTTTGTGTATTTTATAACTATGGAAGTCTGGTCTGGTCTGGTCTGATCTGGTCTGGGACTGAAAACATTCCAAAAGAAAATATCCTAATTCCTATATGAAATACGGCGTACGTAGGATTACTTTGCTATAATATGGAGTTGAGATGTGGCAATATTTTCCCTAATTGTAACCTCCAAATGTATTATTTATAGATAAATACTTTGTAAATCTTACATTCTGTGCTTACCATTATAAAATTACATTTTCGAAAAATTATATGATGATGGTGCCAACATAACTTTTTTCGTACACACTATTAATTGAATATCCCAACCTTTGAAGGGGTGTTAGTTAAGTACCCCGAACTTGCACATGTAATATATATACCCTCATCTTTATATAGTAAAAAAAACGATCCTTAACTGCACAAATTAATAGAACTAATTTTTTAATTTTTGTATAAGCAGCATTAATAGCACTCAAAAGATACTAAAAAGTTATAAATTTTGATATATTTTTTGCAACCATTGGAGTACAAATAAAAAATTACAGCACTTTAAAAAACAAATGTTTTTAAAATTTATACAATCAATATTGGTATCATATGAAAGATAATAAAAAGTTATGATTTTAGATATATTTTTTGTAACAATTAGATTACAAATAAAAAAGTTATATAATTTTAAATAAAACAAATGTTTTTTAAAGTGTTAAATTATTTTTTATTTTTGTGTATTTGATGTGGGTGTCATTTGAAAGATAATAAAAAGTTATGAATTTTGATAAATATTTTATAACAATCAGAATACACAGGAAAAAGTTATAACACTTTAAAAAAACTTGGGATTTTATTTTGTTAGGACCCTAAATAATAGGTTAACATTAGAGTAATTCCTATATGAAATACGTACGTAGGATTACTTTCCTTTAATTTGGAAATTAAATTTAAAACGATAACTATGGAGTTAACATGTGACAATAGTTTCCCTAATTGCAACCTTTAAATGTATTATCTATAGATATTTATTACCCTGTTTATAGATGTACTCCCTATTATTTATAGATATCATTAAACACAAATAGAGTAGAGACTGAAAAAATAGTAAGACCCACTTTACGACAAACGGGGGACGAGTGATGACAGCTTTGAGATATGGGGCGCCAACGCCGAAGAATGCGGTAAGACGCCAACCGCACACACGGACCCACTCCCCACGACACATTTCTTCGCGCGCCGATACCTTTTCCTTTCCTGCGGTTAAATTCTTCTCCTCATTTCCACTCCCCTATTTACCGCGCTGCTATGCTTGGCCGACATTTGAGTTTCGAGCCCAATCGATCTGCTGCTTCTAGCGCACTCGATCACCCCTGATTCATCACCGGCAACTGATTAGATGAGCGTGGCATCTGGAGGCGGATCTCCGCCGTCGGAGTCAGCCGAGCCGCTGTACTCCACTGAGAAGATATCGGTGTGGTGGGACATAGAGAACTGCCAAGTCCCCAGGAGCTTCGACCCGCACGTTATCGCGCAGAACATTAGTTCGGCTCTGGTGGCGATGAACTACTGCGGCCCTGTTTCCATTTCCGCCTACGGTGACACTACCAAGCTCTCTCCATCACTTCAACATGCCCTGAATAGCACCGGCATCTCCCTCAACCATGTTCCAGCAGGTACATATGCACTGCTTACATGAACTCGCACCCTATATGACTGAAGATGCGTCATGCGAAATTGCGAATGTCAATGCGTTACATACGGTTGTTAGTTGTGGCTTTTGAGCGGATCGTCGCTCTACTCGGATAATATATATTATGAATTTGTAGCATTGTGCGGACAAGATAGGTTTAGATATTTCAGCTATTTGTTGCGATCAATTTGTGTGGTAGGTTTAATCACCAACATTATATCTTTGTTGTTGAGTACACCTTCTATACAGGTGAAGTTAGCTTGTTAGCTGTGCGGACGATATGTATTAGGCACTTCACGACTTCCATTGAGTGTCCGAGTGAAAATCGGAACATTGCTACTATTGCCGGATTCCAGATGTAGAAATCTAGTGGAATTCATATTTCATCCGTTTCGCTTTTTCCTTGCTTTTCTACTCTATCTTTTGATATAATCTCTATAATGGATGTTTCTTCTTTCATTGATATGACATTGCATGAGCGGTGAGCCAACACTTTTTTTCTAAGTTATTTTTCTAAAGGCATCTTTCAAGCTCCTCTGATAAACAGTTGCTTGGAGTGATCTCTTCTAAGTGAGATTAGCAATCTCTAGATCCACCTGTTTTATGCTTTAGAAAGTTCTGAATAATCTTGGAAGTTTTTTACTTGTTGGTCTGAAATTTTATCAGTTTGGTGAGCTCTAGTGTGTCTGTCTATCTTTACCAGCATAGTTCTTGTGAGTTTCTTCAAGGCTGTTGAGGAATTGTTAAGTGTTTACACTTATTAAGTATGATGACTCACTGAGTATTTCTTGTAATTACCTATTAAGTGCTTAAGGCCTAGTTTGGTTGGAGGGTTTCGGAGGGGAGGGGAGGGAAGTGAGAGATTTGTGTGTGTTTGGGTGAAGGAAATAGGGGGAAGGGGAGGAAAGTGGAAGGTTTCCAAATCCTCCACTTCCTCCCATTCTAAACCCTCCAAATCGGGGTATTTAGGAGGAAACCTGTTGACAACCACAAACTATCCATTTCCTACGTAAATGGACAAAACGTTATAATATAAAAAAGGTAAAAATAAAAAGTTTTGAAATATTACAAAACTTAAAATTTTAAAAATTACTCCCTCTGTCCCAGAAAATTCTTCCAACTTTCCTTTTTGGGATGTCCCAGAAAATTCTTCCAACTTCACCTTTTTGATTATTTGTGTGGCCCACATTCATTTCACCTTTTTCTTACACAATTACAACCATACATTTCTACTTTATTTCACTACCTAAATATGCGATCCAACTCAAAGTTGGAAGAATTTTGGACGGAGGGAGTAAAAGATTAAAAAATTAAAAACTAAAAAATTTAAAAATATAAAATTTAAAATCTAAAAAAATTACAAATTTAAAAAGTACAAGATAAATAAATTAAAAAAAAATAAAAAAAAAAATTTAAAAGCAAAAAAGTAAAAAATCAAAAAATCTAAAAAAAGATATTATGACTAATGACTATAGGAGTAATATTCACCATAGTTAGAGATATATCTATTTTTTTAACTAAGCTTTCAAATAAAGGTAAATTGGGAAAATATTTTCATTAAACCTTTCCTTCTATTTCCTCCAACCAAACATAAATTTTTATCAAAATCCTTCCTTCCCCTTCCCTTCCCTTCCCTTCCCTTCCCTCCGTGACTCTCCTCTTCCCTCCCCTCCATTGAACCAAACAAGGCCTAAGGGTTATTTAGCTGAACTTTTGCTGTTTCTGCTGACTTTTCTGAAAGCAAAGGCATTTGTAATATCATTTTTTTTGCCAAGAAAGTAAGTCACTCTGCTAATAATAAGCAAATTAATGTAAATAGGGGTCTAATTGCTACGAAGTATTTTTTATTTGAAGACATCATCATTTGATCATATAATGTGCAGTTTATGGTGTTCCATGCATTAGAAGTTGGTTAAAAGAAACTATTTTGGACAAATTAGGTGCTAAAGATGCTAGCGACAAGAAGATTCTTGTGGATATGCTATTCTGGGCAGTGGACAATCCCCCTCCTGCAAATTATCTGTTAATATCTGGCGACCGGGATTTTTCAAATGCTCTCCACCAGTTGCGAATGCGTAGATATAATATTCTTCTAGCACAACCTCAAAAAGCCTCGCCAGCTCTTGTTGCTGCAGCAAAAAGTGTATGGCTATGGACAAGTCTTATATCTGGAGCTCCACCTCTTACTAATACTGAATTAAAGCAATTAGCGGTGCAAGTTGGCATTTCAACCCATTTAAATCAATCTTCGAATACATTCCGTGAAAGTCCTCACCACTCGAATCAGAAGTTCATCAACATGGGAAAGGGTTCAGATGTTAATTCTATGGGCAAACAAATCCGAAGAAATACTTATCTACCTAGTAGTATGCCAAGAACTTCAAATGCAACAGTACAATATCAATGGTACCCTAAAAGTTTCAATGATTCTCAAGATTTATCTTCTGCTGCTCCTAATTCAGGAATTATTCCTTCGAGTGGAGTTCAGCCTGCTCCAAATATCAGTAACCCTGTGTCTTCTTCAATCAATGTGCTTAATACACCAAAACAATACCAAAGTTCTCCAACAATGCCAATAACGCCAAACGTGCCACCAGCACCTCCAAAAGGTAATCCATTTCCACCCCTTCCACACGCCCGCCCTGCACAAAAGATTCGTACCATTCCTCTCTTTGAACCAAGGAGAGGAGTAGAAGAGGTTAAACCAGTTCCAAGTATTATATCTTCTGACCTTAAAAACTTAAACGAGTCTCAGAAAGCAATTAGTAGCCTGCATAAGCAATCATCAATATACAGTGATAGAGATTCTTACAGTCACCCATTCTCTGGGAAAGATACTCCGCATTTGTCTTCTTCCACAAACCCTTGCAACAATGTGCAGAACCTTGGGGATGTTATGATACATACGTTGGGCACTCTAAAAAGGGAGAAGCTTATGCCAACGGAAATGAACATAACTGATTGTATTCATGCTGCAGGTCCAGATTATCGCAACATTGATGTTAAGAAGGCTCTTGAGATTGCACTTAAAAATCAAATTGTAGTAATGCAAAACTTAGGATCTTTAGAACTCTATGTCCGCAAGAATGGTAAATTGTGGAAGTGTGTCAATCCCCTTGATGGAAATCCAGAGGATTATTCAACAGAAATATGGGATAAAGTTCATGAATTCATGTCATCTTCAACTGGAAAATCTGCTCTGAGCGCTACCCAAAGCAGGTATAAGGGATACTCGAGCACTGTGATAGTTTGATTATCCACATTTCAAATTTGGATGTTTTTTAGGCGTGACACCTGGGGTTTCCACCATTACGAAACATATTTTCTATGCATGTTGATATAACCTATGATTATGACAGTTTTGGAACTTTTATTTCATTATTTCTTCTTTTGAAGGCTGTGATAGGAATGGCATCTGGTATAAAAGCATTGCCACTATGGTTGCTAGAATTTGTAGTATTAAAATATTACTTAGTTTTATTTTATAAAATGGCACTATAAAGTTAGTGCTATCAACCCCAACAGTTGGGATAAGGTCTTGTTGAGAATGATGATGATGCACATTTTGTAGGATTGAGAAACTTATTTGAAAATAATCACGGAGAATTAATAAGATGATCGTGAGGCATGTAATTGGATGTATAACACCGGGTTTCACATCACATATGTTTATTTCTTTTTTGAAAATGGTTTTGGTGGATTTTGGAACATGAATGTGTTTCTCTTTTAATGATTTGCTTCTCACAAAAGTCATTGTGTTTTTATTGAATTGCACTTATGACATTATTATTGTGTTTTCTTGTAGGTATGAAGCAGCTACCGTTATAAAGGAGATGTGTTTTAAAGAACTAACTGTAGGTGAAGTTCTTAAAATCTTACACGTGGTTATAAATATCAAGAAATGGATGAAACCTCATCCATCAGGATGGCTGCCAATTAGGATTGCTATTGCATAGACTAACGCTACATAAATCTAGTCCAGGAGGGCCTACTATACTTAACTCTCTTATTTGGAGCATAAGCTAGTAAAATTTTGACCCTCTTCCATGTTTTAGTGAAAATCAATTAGTAAGTGTTACTTCAACAGTTAGAGCAAGTGCATTGTGTTTTGGAGGTTTGGAAACTATTAGACAGCCTCGTCGGTAGTGAACAGGAGAATCCATAGAGGTTGAATAGAAGGGTAAAAATCACTCTTGATAAGCTACCATCCAACAATAGCTGGAAATCGCTATAATGGAATTGTTTATAATGGAAATCACTACATGGAGCATATAAGTCATGTTTTTGAGTCACTAAAAATATACTCGTGGGTTTGTTTTGGTAAAAAACATCAAAGATTGGAATGTTGTTAGAAATGTGTTCTGCAGTTAAACTGCAATTTCTGTTACAAGATTATCTCTGTGGAAACATTGGAGGACATGTTGAGTTGGTGACTGCACCCGAATGGAGAAAAAATCATCTATGGATATGTCATCTTCTGAATGTTAAGATGCTTGAGCAGGTTAGGGCCGACCACAATTCGGTTTGTTATTGAACATCCGAGATTTACTGATTGAAAGAAGTTATAGAGGAATAGTTGTAGTATGTTGAACATTGAGATTGATATTACTAAGAAAAATGGATGCTTGGTTTCTTTTTGCATTTTGAATCCCTTCTGATTTTTATAGATGTCTTGTAACATAATACACCTCAAACTGGCTTTATGGTTTCACTTCACACTTGCATTGAAGAGTAAGAGTGTAAGACCTCCAACCTTTTCATGCGTATATATAGTTTCTCTTTCATTTTGATTATACTTGGATAGAGTTGAGCCTATGGCGCTTTGATCATACTCCAACAACAACACTAATATTACCCTAGTGCTGCAAGGGCTCCCATTGGAGGTGGGGTAAGGGGGTGGGATGTATGCAACCTTACACATGTACTAAAACATAGAGAGTAAAGCATAGAGAGGTTGTTTCCTGATGACTCATGATGAAAATTGCTTCGAAAATTGCATAGACTAATTGCTACTTCATAACAAAGTAACACATATAGTTTAGTGAATTATTTTGCTTTATTCCATCATATTCTCAAGCCAAAAGATAGTGAGCCTTCACTTCAATTGGAAATTATGAAAAATTTCAATCATACTCCACCTTACTATTATTTTGATTGATTGCCATAGAGCCAAAGCTCGAATGCTTCTTCACTTGATTCAGAAATCGATTCTCTCAAAAGGAACCAAGTCACAACCGTTTCTCTCTTGAGATGTCCATACTCCATAATGTCAAAGTCCTTGTCACAGTATCACTTCTATCAATGACTTGGTATGTGCCCATTTAGTTGGGCATTTTTGTGGTAGAAGTGGTCTAAGTAGGGGTGGACTCGGGCCGGGGCGGCCCGTCCCGGAAGCGGCCTGGCCCGGTCACTGTTTGAACCGGTCCGAACCGCCGGCCCGGCCAGGGACCGATTCGGGTAGGCCCGACCCGCTGGGGTTCCGGGCCGGGCCAGGCTCGGGCCCCTGAAAAGGTGAATCGGCCCGGCTGGTTCGGGCCCGCTCCGGGCCAATTTATTTATTTTTTCTTTTTTTTTGAATTTTTTTTTAAGTTTTTGGGTTGGGTTGGGTATTTTGGGCCATTTGAGGTGTTTTGGGGGTGAGGGGGGAGGGTTGGGGGCTAATTAGGAAAAGCCAAATTTTTTTTAGTTGAACCGAGGTCCGGCCCGGCCCGAACCGGATCCGGGGGTTACCCGGGCCAGTTCTGGGCCTCCCCTTTCATGAACCGAGGCCCGGCCGGGCCCAGGCCCGAACCGGACCCGAACCGGCCCGAGTCCACCCTTAGGTCTAAGCATTATGGTGGTTTGATGCGCAAACATTTTTCTTGGCATCCCAGTGCAATGCTTTACCAACACAACTTCCTGGTGGAGCCGTGTAGGCGTAAGTTCATGCACACTTATAGTTAATTAAAAAAGACACAAATACGGATATCATAAGTGAGATCGTTTAAAAGAATGAAAGCTGAAATTGTACCCTTATGCACTTTACACGATCATTTACGTATTAATCGCCTTGACAGGACTATAAGGCAAGTTTTATTTCAAAACTGAACAACATATCACGGTTTGTACGTCCCAAACATCAAATTGCCTCTCTTTGCACGCCACATTTATTATTACACGCACCCCATTTTTACTTGATTTGACTTTTTTGTTTACATTCTATTTTTTGTTGTATCACTCTCAACTATCAAATATAGACAATGGAGTATGGAATCTACAAGTGTATCTGCTTCTTTTATGCTGCACCATTTATAATATCATGAGTTTTTTATGACAAATGTATACCCATTTTAGAGAGAACCTGTGAGGCTGAGGAGATCTCCATCATCAATAAGATTGAGAAACACATCACTTTGTTTTGGGTGACACTTTCGTTATTTCTATTTTCATTAAGAATATTATTGTCGTCAACTATTTATAGTCGCAAATGTATGTAGTATTGGTAAAGATTACGCCAAAATTACCATTTAGATATCATAATATATTTTTGATACTATTCTAGTGACAATGTATGAGTATTGGGCCTTTGGTCCTCAACTATATAGCTACAAGTTCATGAGAACATAATATTTGGCCGATTATGTTTATAAAAGTACAATAATGGGCATATTGCACTAAGTGAACTTATCTTATATCCATATTTTGACCGATAATGAGAGTTCTAACAGTGTGTGTTATATATGAGAATTAATGTCACTCAGATTCATTTATAAATATGCAACTGTTGAATTAATATTTGGCCAACTTGGCGTTCAAATTCAAAACAAACTGAGTTTCTCAATATCTTTTGTCTCAGATATGATTTTCAAGTACTCCCTCCGTCCTATTGGACTTTGCCAACTTTCTCTTTTTTGTTGTCCCAAAAAACTTTGTCACTTTTCTATTAAAACAACTAATTTGTAGTTCTGCACATTTCTCTCTCCTCTGCGCAACCCTCAATCATATGGTTTTTACTATTCTTAATTCTCATCATGATTACATACTATGTTCACATCTTTGACATACATTAATACTTGAATATTTTGAACTTGTTTCCTTTATAAATGCACAAGACACAATTCATCCATTTGACATGTCTTCCTAATCAACTAATCACTTAAATGGGTATACCACTTCCATTCAGATTCTTTCAATCCAAAAGTAAACGATCCAATATAATTTTGTTTTGTTTTGTGAAGAAATATAATTTTACTCTATTTTTTAGAGTCACTTAAGTTGATTAACAAATGCTGAATTGATGCGCCACACACACCAAACAACATCTCGTTGAGATATAAAATAGCCACATCCATTTGTTCCATTTTCATTAATTTGGATGCTACTTGTAGACTAAATATGAGAATTTCTTTAAGTTCATAATACAGAGGTATGTATTCTCATATTTGAATCCAAGGTGCCGTGAAAAAAAAATCAAGGCCTCATTAATCTCATCACACTTTCTTATAAAGAATTAATTTTTGTCCTATGAGCTCTACTCTCGGTAGAGTTAGCTACTTTTTTTCAACCGTGTTACTTTTACACGAAATTTGTACACTAAAAAAGGAAACGTAGTTTTTTTTTCAATTTTTATTGTTTGTAGAGCCCATTTGGTAGCACGAAAATCGGCTGAATTGGCTAATTCTGCTGCAATTTATGAAATTCCGGCTGAAATGGCTGCATTGGCTGATTCTGCTGATTTAAGAAAAAATTATTTTAAAATTTATTTTATTAATAAAATAAAGAAAAAATCATATGTAAAAATGGTTAAAGTGATTATCTACATTAACTTCAGCCAATAAGGTCAGAAAAGTAACTTCAAACTTACGTTTTCTGCTTATTACGCAATTCAGCGCGCGAAAGCAAAAATTTACGTGTTTGGTAAAAATGTTGGCTAATAAACCCGATAAACAAAAAAACTGTGTACAAAATGTTTGTTTTTGTGTTGATGCGAGGCCCGACAAGCATGTTTTCTCTCTGTCACAAGACCGGATTCGGAACTCTCTGCCCGTAGAGTGGTGTCCCGCTTGGCCCGTCCGATCAATAAACCAATGCCCTTCATTCCCATTTGCCCCTTGCTTGCCGCAATGCACCTCTTCTGTTTGGCAGAGGATTTGAATCCAACAAGACCAGGCATGAGTTTCATACACAATTTTCCCCAGATAAAACTATATTAGTGCGCCTTGTAAAAATTGCTCTTCCAGCCTTCCAAGTCACCCCCATGGGTGTAACACATTCAGCTTCAAACCTCTCTAATAAAGTTCAAGTATGGGTTTATCAAAGTCGTGGCCTTTCTTCTCTTTCATGTATCCAAATCTTCAAAGAAACTGATACAAAATTGCCCAATCTTTCGAAGTTTCCAACAAAAAATCAATTTTCAGCTAAAAAACTTCTCCCCGATACCTTACTAAGTGTCAATGGTTCCACCTCCGATTTGGACTCTTCATTGAGTCTCTTCAAACGGGCTTGCCAGAAAAAGGAGTTTCGCCCCGCTGCTGACACATACCACACCATAATTTTGAAATTGGGTATGACCGGAAAAGTGGGCGAAGTGGAGGGACTTTGCAAAGAGATGGTGGAGGGAAAATGCCCAGGCTTTGAAGAAGTGATTTTTTCGCTAATTGATGCTTTTGTTAGGAACCATAGGCTTAGTGAGGCTTTATGTGTTGTTTCTTATGTACATTTATGTAGCAATAAGCCAGCATCCCTATCTGTGTATAATAAGATGTTGGATGCACTTGTGAAGGCAAAGAAAGATTTTAAAGATGTTGTCTATGTATACAAAGAGATGGTAAAAGCTGGAATTGTTCCAAATACCGATACACTAAATTATTTGTTGCAGGCATTGTTGGGTGCGGGTCGTGCCGATTCAATGTTGGGTCAATACAGAAGGATGGATAAGAAAGGGTGTAAGCCAAATAGTAGAACTTTTGAGATAGTTATTAGTGGACTTGTTTCTAGTGGTAAATATGAGGAATCTCTTGGGGTTTTAGATGAACTATTTAGCTCTGGGTGTGAACCTGATCTGAGTTTCTACGCCTCCTTACTGCCCATATTTTGTGATATGAATAACCTCGAGGTGGGAATGAGGCTTTTTGGAATGATGAGATCTTCAAAGATATCTCCAACCTCATCAATATATGGGTGTATGATACAATGTCTGTGCAAGAATCGTCTTGTGGATGAAGCACTAACCCTAGTAGAAGAGATGACTGCCAGTCATCCAATTCTGGATGAGTTTTTGCTCACTAGTATAATCGACAGGTTATGTGAAATGAACAAATTGTCTGAGGCCAAGAAGTTATTGGAAGATCAAAATGTTTCTATTGCATCTCCTTATAATGTTCTTCTCCAAGCATATGTGAATGCAGGTGATTTTGATATTGCTCGACACCTGTTCGATGAAATGTTTGATAGAGATTTAACAGATGTCGGTTCATGGAATATCCTCCTTAAACATTTCTGTGAATGCCACGAGATAAATGATGCCCTGAAGTATCTTGGGAAGATGATTGTTTCATCGGCTAACCCAAATGCCGATACTTATTCAGCAATTATAATTGGCAAATCCTCAATGGATGAATATGAGGAAGCCTTGACATTGTTCCACAAAGCATGGGTCAAATCGTGGGTTCTTGATGATGTGTCATACGGTCAACTCATCAATTGTCTATGCCGTTCAGAAAGGTATCAAGAAGCTGTGCAAGTGTTTTCCCTAATGTCTAGCAAAAGACGTCCTCTGAACTCTGTATCGTTCGATTTGCTTATCAGGGGTATATCTGGAATCACCGCTCAAACAATCAAATTACTGTCATTGGCTTATTACAGTGGAGCGTCCCCTTCTATTTCCACCCTAAAGACCATCGTTCAAGGTCTCTCTGAAGGAAATAAGGTGGATGATCTCTGTACAGAATATTGCATCCTCTTAATTAACTTGATGCTTACTGAGGGTTTATTATCATCTCAGAATTGCAATGCACTTGCTAATCTACTCTCGTGTTTGATGAAAAACTCTCAGTTGCACGTGATTTTGCCTGCGGTAGATACATTTATCTCCAACTCTGAATTTCATGATTCGTCTGTATTTAGCGTGTTGATTGATAGCCTTTGGAGAGGGGGGTATAGAAGAGAGGCCTCTAAATTGTTGGACTTGATGTTGGGGAAGGGGTGGGTCCCTGATCCAGGAACTCATGCAGTGTTAATGGGTTCATCATTTGTTGAAGAAGATGGAAAAGATGCCGAAGTACCTGTTGTCTGTGAAGATAGTGTTAGCGGCATACTTGCCCAAGGTTTAGCAGAATGTGACCATTGATGTTGGCTGTGGATCAGAGTGTGATTTTGTGTCCTGTAAACTTGGATTTGATGCAAGGAGACTGAGAAAGGTATGCTTTTAAGAAGTATTGATCGGATGAAAATATTATGATGTCATTCTTCTACATCCCCCTCTGTACCTATTCAATCGGTCATCTCTTCGAGTTCACAAGCAGTTAAAAAAATAAAATTATGTGCTTGAGATTAATTTTGAAATGAAAGAATCAAATAATCAATATCAACCTCAATTTTTCCCTTAGAACTACACATGACGATTATTTGAGCAGAGTCCAAAATGAGTGTTCAGGCACGGTCCCAACAAAAAACTTATGTCATTCTTCTTGCTGTCAAGTTTAACCTACCACTTACCGTAATTGGCTACATATGATTCTTTCCCAAAATTTATCTCCACCGTAGTTAAAAAATGATGTTGTGAAGATTTAGCTTTTGATTGTTTTAACATTTCTTTTACAGGCCAGCCAAACATATGAAGATTTCCACTTGACTTCTCTTGAAAAATTTTGAGGGAGAGATAGAGTTTGGGGTAAATAGTGGAGTTTCTCGGGTCGTGTAGGGTTCCATTTGTAAATTGTAAGAGGAAAATGAGGCTAGATTATTATGTCCAAGCTGAACAAATGTTGGGTCTTGCTTTATAGTTTAGACGGAGTATGGTTTTTTATTCACTTAATGTAACTTCGGAATTACGATTCATACAACTATACAAGTATTGTATTTGAAAGCTTCTATCGTTCCTTATTCACATTTTAAATAATAATAATAAAACATCCAAGATATTGACAACATCATCTCCTTAGGGAGTTAGGGGTTCATGACTTTGGGTTCCATTGCACCCCAACCCTTACTCGAAACCATATCCAGCCTGGATCAACCCCAAGGTGCAATCTTGTACAGTAGCTACAATATATTGCACCTTAGTACGTTTGTATTTTAGTAAATGAGGGAAAACCCATGACTCTTTTATTGCTCGTTTTAATAAAATACTTGGCTTAAAAAAAACGGGGGGAGGGGGGGGACTAGTCATGGACCCGGTTCAGGCCGCCCGGCCCGGGACCGGCCCGGCCCGGCCCGCCACTATGCGGGCCCAGAACCGGCCCGGTCCTCTGGTCCGGGTCCGGGTCGGGCCTAGGCCCGGTGGGGGGGGGTGGGTCCGGGCTCGGGCCTTGTATTTGGCAAACCGGCCCGGCCGGGTCGGGCCCGGGCCAAAAACTGTTTTTTTTTTCATTTTTTTGGGCTTTATTGAGTTGGGCTTGATGTTTAGGACCGGTTTGGGGGGTGGGGTGGGGGGGGGGGAAGAAAAGAAAAAAAAAACTAACCGGGTGGCCCGGCCCGGAACCGGACCCGGAACCGGTGGCCACCGGTTCGGGCTCGGGCCCAACAAAACAGACCCGAGGCCCGGCCAGGCCTAGGCCCGAACCGGCCCAGGGCCATCCCTAGGGGGGACCCATGACTCATGTCCAATCCTACAAGCAATCAACCAAGGGAGGAAATATGGTTAATATGGTACTGATTAGGTAATTAGATTTTAGGTGATGGATAACCCAAGGCAAGAAAGAAGGGGTCTTGGCCACCTGCTACCTTGTGATAAAAACAGAGCAGCTTCTTATCAAAATGATAAAGAAAGGCTTGCCCCTTATACACCATTTTGGCAAGACCCTTACCCATACCCTCCGCTTGTGGGGAGACCAATGTGCACCGAGCTGCCCTTTCTTTTTCTTTCTTATAACCCCAGGCAAGAAGGTTGAATTACAATAATGCCAGGTGTGGACTCAAGTCCTCAACCAATATTTCTTCTCAAATTGCACAAATTGAGTATTATCTGGACCATCCTCCCATATCTCTATTAGATGCCCATCCAGAAATTCCATAAATTTCAATGTCATTGTAAAGTTTCTAGTTGGAATATGACAGATGCTAGGAGGTAATGGCATCAAAATCTATTTTAAAATTATAATGCCTCACATGAGTACTTGACACCTAACAGCCTAAAAATATAATCCCTTCGACCCCAAGGATGATAAACCAGCCATGGCCAAAACGGCAATACATAGATTTCTTGCTTAGAATGAAGGCCAATGTTACTCATGCTTTTAACTTTACGTGGCAATAGAGGCCCATCCTCTAACCCAAACTCACCTTGCTGACATAGTTCATGCGAGGCATTTATTTTGTGCAACTACAGACCTACCCAGCAAAACTTATTGCAAAGAGTGCAAAAGGGTCCGTGCAATCCACCCTCAGTTGACATGCCAAACGTGTACAAAATACAAGAACACACAAGCGATGCAATTCCAAATAATTGGAAAGTAGTACTTTGTGGAGGGGATTAATTGATGAAAAATTTGAAGTTGTTTCAGGACTCCAGTAGAGGGGTGAGAATGAAATGCATGTAGAAATATAGTATTATAATACATACATCATAACTACATAAATACATCACAAGTTCTTGGCGTTTTTACACAGAACTACGCTCTAACATAAAACAAAAGCTATACTCCGAGCAAATTACCCTTTATCTAGCAAAACGAACTCCCAAAATTTATGCAATTCCTCATTCATATCAAGATCAAAAAATAAAAACCAGCATCCTTTTAAAAAGCAAGCCTGCAAAGGAAAATTCAATCTTAAATATCACGAACATGAAATATCCCATAACAGAGACGTTCTAAAATCATATGTAGTATAAATTCTCACCTTTGCAATATAAAGTATCATTCAGGTGTACCTAGTTTAACACCATTGTTCTGCTCCCCAAAAAGAATCAGGTTTGTTTGCTGATCTGGATCCTCTGCAGCAGGTAAAGAGGCAACCTCACCATTAGTAATAGCAAATTCAGCCAAATTCTCTGGCATTCCATTCTGATGACTCTCATCAAGATTCTGAACAATTGACAGCCCAGTGTGGGTGTGGGGTCCCACAGAAAACCCCCCATTCTCCTCCACAACCATGGGAACAATGTTGTTTGGAAGTTGCACTCCCGCCAGATCCTTATTCAAAGCTGCCAAAACGTCACTAGATGTATCCACCCTGTCCATATTTTCCCTATGATGATTCACCATCACATTATTGCTGGCAATGCCGCCTATTCCCCTCCTGTTAGCTAACAAAACCTCATTCCTTCTCATCTTCTCCTTAGCCACTAGATAGGACACATGTTCTAATGCTTCCCTGGCCCGTTTCCTAGAAAATGCCGCTTCCTTTGCCTTCTTCTCTGCCTCCATTCTTAAAGAAGCAGCTGCACTGCTCATCAAAGTAGCGGCAATCCTAGCAGCAGCCAGCAAAACTCTCGCTGCACTTTTATCAATGACCCTGCAAGTCTCACTATTCCCACTCTTGCCATCCATATTGGTGGCTTTTCTAAGGGTGAATATTGGGGAGTTGGGGGAGACGCAGAGGGGGCATACGTAAGGGTTGGGCGGGGTGTGTCCCACACACTGGGTATGGGACACGGAGTAGCACTTGGAGCAGCAGACGGCGTCGTTTTGGGATGACCGCGGTGGGGACGGGTGGGAGACGGTGAAGCAGGTAGGGCAGAAGTATTGAGGGTGGAGTCTCAGGACACAGGTAGTGCAGAGCTTACGGATGTTGCCCCGGAGGCGGATACCGTGAAGTATAAGCCGCTCCACCGCCCCGCAATTGCCGCATACGGCGGACCCAGCAACGACGGAGCCCGGAGATGAAAAGTCGGGTCTCATCATCGCTTTTATCGCTCTATACGAAGATCGAACATTTGAAATTATGATTGCAATGATCCATATACATGTTTATGTTTAAGAGATTCCAATCGAACAATGGATTTCTTACCCTGTCTACGAACGGTTTGCGTGAAATGCGAAGGCCGCTGGGCAGGGAGAGAATTAGGGTTTTGGGTGTAGGTCTGCGACGCGCGGGGAAGAAGCGAGGTGATTGGTTGGTTTGCAATTAGCAGGATCGATTTGTGACGCGCACAATATCGCAAGATTCCTTTTGTACGCAAATTACAAATAAAAGGGGGGAAAGGGTACCTCGAAGTTGCAAAAAAAGGTCAAATAAGTCTTTATATAGAAAATTCTGTCCGGACGTGCCATTTGAGGTGGCTCCCGGTGGAATTTTTTGATTAAATTTTTTGAGCATCTTATTCATTAAGTCAAGTTTACTCATACCAAATTTCAGATAAAAATTCAATCGGGAAGACATTCAAATGAATTCTTGAAGATAACCGTGCCGTTAAAAGCGCAGTTATCTTCAAATAAAAGTATCTTCAAATATATTTGACCCCCTTTTTTGCAATTTCGAGAACCAAATAAAAGTATCTTCGTCCTCTTAGAAGGTTTAAATGTGTTTTTGATCCCAACAAATATATCACACTTTGGTTTTGGTTCGTGTAAAATATTTTGTTTGTTTCCATCTCTGAAATTTATGTTGATTTTCTTGTTAGTACATGGCTAATGATAACAACCCCCGATTGACAACGAAACAATCCCGACTAATAGAGATCCTTTAATTTTTTGTCATTCCATTCAAAAAGTATTTAATTTCATTTTTAAAGGTTTTTAATACATTTTTAAAAATGCGAATAATTAGTTTTAATATTGTTTTAACTCTCTTATTAGTCTAAAAAAATATAAACTGATAAATTTAAATGTGTGTAGTAGATTTATGCAATTGACAATAAAAAATTCTAAGTAGAATTGTTTTGGAGTTAAAGATGGAATAAAACCAAAATAGCGCATATTACAGGGATGAAAAACAAAGAAAATGTTTTGTAGGGACTTAAAACAAAGTGTCATATTTGTAGGGACTAAAACCATTTTTAAACCTTTTTAGAATAACCTATTTTCAATCACACACCAAATCATACTAGATTCAATCAGATTATATAAGGGGGGTTTACCTAAATAAGAGTAAATAAACCCTAAATGGCCAAAATAGGACTAAAATTGAAGAATTCCCAAAATAGGAATTATTATTTGTAATTGGACAAAAACACCCCTGAAGCTTTGGAACATACGGCCGCCAACAGCACACCAGATCGCCGCTGGTCTCCGATCGCCGTCAGCCGCCGGCTACCGCTGTCGCCTCAGAAGTAGTCGTCGTAGTAGATCTGGCCATTGCCGCAACAGTTCTGGCCAAATCAGATAAGATCAAACCAAAGCAAAGTAGATCAGACCAAATAAATCAGATCAGAAAATTCCAATGCAATTAAAAACATCTTTAATACTCCGTAATACATTCGTCCTAAGAAAGATAGGAATAAAAGAGTATTGTTTTTTTTTTAAAGGAAAACCAGCTTATATTACAAATATCAAAGAACGAAACATCCCCACAACCACAATAAACCAACCCTTCCTATGGGACTCTGCGTATCTAAACGACCTAACTCTCTAATTAGACACAGAATAGACCACCCAGTTATGAGCGAGACTAATCGCTAAGTGATGGTTTTACCGACCCTAGGATAGCCGGAAAACCGAGAAAATAAACGGAGAAGAAGATCAGAGAAAATACTAAGTCAGATCAGTAGTAATTTTAGCAGAGTAACAACAATAGAGTTCAGTATTCAATCAACATCCACATGTTGGAGGGTGATATTTATACTAAAATGTAATACTTGGTGCCAAAGTAAAAAAGATGCCAAATTGATGTGAGAAGGACACATGTCCCCTTCGTGCAACAGAAATAACAACTAATCTAATGGGAAGATGACACGTGTAAAGTGTAATTGAAGATATAACCAATTTTGTTAGCCGATTGGTACGGACCACGCGAACGTATGCTTCTGGATTGTTCTTTTCCTTATCCGCAGGGATGACGTGGCAGCATCTTGAGTGATGCCCTCATGACGGAAAATGGCTAAGTTCATGAACTGTTGGGGAGACCAGAGCTCTTGGAGGTCAACGCTCGGGCTTTAGTATCTTGAATGCTGGTGACGTGGCATCTTCTGGAGTGATGCTGATGTGGTAGCGTGCTATGCTGATGAAGAACATGTCCTCAGCTGGTGGGTAAGACCTACCTCGAGTTCCTGGTGGTCGAGCTCGGGGAAGATGATTCTTCCCCTGAGGTCAGTCCCACGGGGTCGGGGCCTGCCTGGTACCTTGGCTCTCAATTATCCAGCTCTATATGCAATATGGGAAAACCTGGGCCTTTGGAGCTCGGAGCTCGGATGTCCATGGCTCCATGCTTAATGTGGGAGTAGCTCTGAGTCCCTGGAGGTTGGATCTTGCTGGCTCCTGATCAACCCTGCTCTCTATTCTTCAAGGTTGATGTCACGACCGACCCTGACCTCGGGGGGTTGAGGTCGGGCTCGTATTCTGCTGTCTTTGGGCGATTCCTGAGCTCGGTGTTTTCCCGACCTCGAGGTCGGGTCACTTGAGGTCAAACTCATAGTTTGCTTTGTTCAGTTGATATCCAAGCTTGATATTTTCCCCGACCTCAGGGGTCGAGGTCGGGCTCAGACGGGATTCTGTTACTTAGTCGTTTTGGTGCTGCCTTTGTGATTTTTGACCAGTGACTGCGATACCCCTGGGTATATTGGGAATATACTTCATCACTAAGCATGTGAGAGCTTCGAAGCTTTTACCGCCACACAAGCCTTATCACTTCCATCTAAACAATCATCATAGAAAGTAGTCCCAAAACTAAAAAACACCTACCGCTATTGTCCACAGTAATAACATAGTATGAGTTAAAGAAATTTAAATAAAAGCAATAAAAGTAGTTTGTCTTGTGAGCTCCCTTCGATATTGGAATCCACGGCGGAGGTTCAGGAGGAGCGCAGATCGCCCCTATTGTCTCTTCCAACTGCAGCGACATCCCATCATCATCATAAGCCGCAATCCAGTACAAAACGAACGTACTATCCATTTTCAATTTTTTTCTGACGTAACAAACCCATCAGAGATAAGTTTGCATTGGATGAAGTGGGTGCCATAGATTCCACTACTAGAAACTCGTCCATCACGAACTGCACCCAAGCATGTTGTGAAGATGGCCTGTGATCGGATGATGATTCCTGCTGAATTATCGGGACGAATTGAAGGAAGTCTACTACCTTGTTTCGCGCAAGAAGTTGCGCACCAGAAAAACTAAAACCCCTAAAGAGAGGGTCCGTCTGCTTTAAAAAGAGTATTGTTGTTATTAAAAAAATATAGTTACATGACATTAAATTGATAAAGTATAAAAAAGAAAAAATGAACTAAATCAAAACAAGTAGTATCAAATATGGTATAAAATAAATCAATGGACAGATGAAAAGGGTGAATGAGACGAAAGTACTGTGTGAGAGGGAGGGAATGCTATTGAATTGAAGTGATTGTATTTCATCCTTATTTTATCCACCCTTTACAAATTCAATATTAGTCATTTAAATCTTTTTTCCCTAATAACTGCACTTAAATAGTGGCGTATTTGACCATTTTGAGTTTGAGCTAAATTGATATAATATAATACTAGTATCTTTGCCCGTGCTGTTCACGGGGTAAAATTATTTTTTTGTTTAAGTTTATTAATAAAAAGTCATTTTTTTTATTCGATTATAGTATTGGTTTAAAATGCATATTCTAATTTATTGAGTCATTTCATCATTTTCATTTACCCCAGTGCCGCAAAGGCTCCCACTTACGGTGGGGTGGGGTGGGGGGGTCGGATGTACGCAGTCTTATCCCTGTACTAAAGCACAGAGAGACTGTTTCCGGATGACCCATAGTGAAAATCGCGTCCAAAATTGCATGGATGACTGACTGTTACTTCATAACATAGAAGGGCAGACAGTTTAGTGAGCCATTTTGCTTTATTCTATCATATTCTCAAGCCAAACAATATTTAATCTTTGTCTCCATTGCAAATGATGGAAAATTCTAATTTATTGAGTATGCCTTATTTTTCAACTAATTATCTAAATATGTTTCCAGTCAATATTTTTCAATAAAAAAGCATTTTTAGGGACTATTATCTAAATATGAGTAAAAAAGTTTTGAAATTCGAAAATAGGACCGCCATGTTTTTATTTTCTAAATATGAGTAATTTCTACAAAAAATCTGACATTATCAAAGCTCTAAACATGGCAGTTTTTGCCAAGTTTTTCCAAACTTCGCAGAAATTTCTTCTATTTATGGAATAAAAACATGAAGAATTTACTTTGGAATTTCAAAACGTATTTACTCCTATTCTGGTCTAGCCCTCTTGGATAGTGTAACACTGTTGTTCTCAGTTATCAATTTAGCATTGTTTGTCTAATGTTGTAACCATGTTTATGTAATCCCAGCTTAATGTTTGTGAAGTCAACTTTTTTGAATGGAAAAGTTTTTAGAGTTTTATGGATCTCTTAGCTAGGCACAACGGTGAATTCAGAAATGTCAGATTAGGGGGCTGGTAGTTAAAAAACCTATTTTGAGGTGACCAAAGTTTAAAGTTACTTGTCTACCAAGTAGTTTAAAGTTTTTAGAGTTTTATGGATCTCTTAGCTAGACTCGTTGTACTATTAGCAGTTATGAGTGCAAAAAAGGAAACCTAAAGCATCATTTACAATTGTATTACCTAAATGATACATAGAGCCCTCTTGCACTAAAAAAGACCTGATTTTCTAGCCCTAAAGTTAGCTGATATAGACTAAATGATAAATTGAAATACAGAGGCCAAAGGTTAATAGGAAGACATAAATGATCATGTATTCATGTACAAAGAGCTAAACCATCATAGTGACATCAACCATAATTCATAAATCGCATACTTATACCATGGACTTAGGCTAACAACAAAAGAGCAGAGCAGAATATGGTTCATGGTTACGGGCATTCACTGGTTACGGTATGAGTTGAGCATCCAAAACCACTTGACCATTGAAAATCATTTCGAACTAGTTCATCATTAAAGTGACGAGTGCATCCATCACTACCTCACTTTGCCGCCAATTTGTTATAATCCAATTATTGCTAGCTACTTGTCTACAAAATATATATTACCCGGTCTC